GGCCCTTTTAAAGTGCCTTTTCTTCCTTAAGAGACGCCTCCGACTGGCTTTACCTGATATAAAAATGTTAGCATATACAGTAAACTCCCTTTAAGACGAATTCTTGTTCAAGACAAACAACACGAAAGTGTTTATTTGGTTTCCCATAGACTCAATGCAAAAAAAAATCTGCTTAAGGTAAACCACGTAATAGCCCTCTTCTGTTAGGACGAACTCTCACAGCGACCAACCACGATGGGGATTCTGCGCCATCAAAATTATAGTCTTGTTGGGGGCATTCAGGCCAACAAGCAAAATAAAAAAAAAGCCTTCCTGGCGCAGACTTCAAGCAGATCAAAAGCAAATTGCGATGTGGAGGGAGAAAGCAAGGTACCTAAAAGGAAAAGAAAGGTCAGCGCATAAATCTTGTATCTCCCTAACTTCTAGCATGTAGATGGAGAAAGGGCTGGCTTAATCAGCAAAGAAAGCAACAAAAATCGGTGAGCCTTTTGTATTCTCCTCGTGTTCCTCAACAGGAGTACAGTAGAGAACAAAATTGCTTGGCTAAAGAAAAAAAATTCAAGGGGAAAAGGGGTGAAGAAAAAGACAAATGAAAGTGAAAAATGGGAACAAAGATATTTTGTATATTATAATCACTTGAAACGGAAACCGCATATGCAGCACTAGCACTCCCATCAGAGGAGACAGATGCATTGTCGTCGCCGTCACACAATGGTGCCCGAGTACATGTTGTGGTCAGTTTGTGTTGTTTTGCACAAAGCCTGTGGGTATCGTATCTGTTCGCAGCGAAATGTAGCAAATTGTGATGCGCCATTTTCATTAGGAAAGTGCACAACAAAAGAAGCTCATTTTTCACACTAAATGTAGCTGCATGATGTCTCTATTGTTTGCCCGAGGCTTGTGATCGTGAGTAGCGTAAATGGAGATCTTCAGCTGCATGTCATTCAGTAAAAGTTACTGTGAGCTGAAAATAAGAAGATATCTGAACCTAAGAAAATATCTGAACAGTAGGCAACTGTAGTGCCTTGTGTAATGTGTTGTCGCTTGTTGCTAAACTTCATCAACAGAAGCTCCGCTTGACCGCACACAACATTGATGATACTTCTGGCGATCGCAACACTTCAAGAGAGTAGAAGCATCTATACTTGTTCAGCTATTCCTTTTCCAGTACGCTGCGCGATGCACGTGACAGAAACAAGGCGGCACGATAACGGAGGTACGGTCACGTCGTCAATGATGCGAAGGGATTTTCGGTGTAGCGCTGCACTTTGATATACTTGAAAGGTCAGTACACCGTCCAGTATATTGATTATGGCACAGTATTCACGCAAGGAATCCCTCTCTAGGGTTGCCTGTTTGCAACAGTCGGAAAGAATAACGAAAGTTGCATAACGAAGGATGCATCCCCTATCTTGATTCTTGCGGTGCTCTTTCCAGTAGGTGTGAGTAGCTGCCCTCCATCTCCTCTAATCTGTGGTCCTGTCCATTCCATTCTAACCTTCCTGAGCTTGTCTGCCAGACTCGAACTCATTATTGAAAAGTCCGCACATGTATTTACCAATGCCATCACGTGGTGACCGTCAATTGTTATTGCAATGTCGGCAGTAACAACCTCATCTTTCGTCCAATCATTGGAAATTTGTGTCTCTTCGTTCGGCAGTTTTGGGGGATTTTTATTTAGCTTTCCGACGATGCACAACCTCCCCCCCTCCCCCCTGAGGTCGCCAATTTTAGTTTCTCTGGCGCGGACTGGCAGATCTTGCTCTTGGCATATCAGTGTTACTATGTTTAGTGGATGGAGAATAACGGCCAGATGTCAATTTGGCAAAGTGGTGGTCGCCGGGGCATCGAAGTTTCTCTGTAGTACCAAGGCGCTGTTGGCGGCTGTTGCTGCTGGTACTGATGCGGTGTCGGCACATTAGCTGGCTGTCAGCGGACTATGCATAGCCAGTAATTTATGGGCTGCTCCAATTGCTCCAAACTGCTCCAAAAGAGAAATGTTCTCCATGCTGCTCCAAAGTGCAATATTTGCTAGTAACTGCTCCAAAATGGTGTTGGCAAACTAAAAAAAAGAATGAAGTTGATGCATGGGGCCATCCCGTGAGCCAAAGCGAAACCAAAAGCAAGCTGTATGCACTGTCATCCTAGTAGGCTACTCAGAGGCGTAAATCCAGAAAAATCACAAGGGGTGACACATATCAAGGCATGGTGGCCAATTCGTACTTTTAATGTGGGTTGTATTTTTATTTATATAAGCATTAAATCATGGTTGCAAATAAAATTAATAAGCTAGCATGGGGTCCGAGCTCCAGCAATTGCATTGTTCTATTCAGTCTCTTTTTTTTTCCCTTTTTGTGATTTCTATAGTTCACGCAGCTGAGGGCCATTTAACAAAGGTATACAGTAAAAGATAAAAAAGCCTTTTAAGAAGTTGATTGTGCTATACTTAACTGTTAAATCATTTATATCACGTGCTAAAGCTGAATCTCAAAGGGGACACTTGCAAGGGCTGTCTTCCTCCGCCTGAACACAAGAAAAGTCTTAACTCCCTTGAATCCCTCCCCCCTCCCCCCCAGGATTTGGGCAAATGAGGCTTACTATACTCCTTTTATACTAGCTACATTCTGGCATACGGCATGTTTAAAAATAAATATGAATATTTATTAGATGCTCAAGTCACGTTTTAGACTTTGGGAGTCGTTAGGAACATGGATCTGCTCCGAAAACACCAATAGCAGCCCTAAGCTATAGCATTTTTTTCTGCTTCAGAATCTGCTCCTAAAAGAAAAATGTCGCTTCCATCACTGCATAGCTTGCCATGGGGGTGCTGGTGTTCGGCTTAGGAAGCGAAAGCTTTTGCCTAATTTTCTGGCACACAAATTCTGTGATTGAGGCAGTTGCGCAGTCATTCGGCTTGGTGACGATCTTCTTGACCTCTTCTTGCACGATTTCTCGTATTATTAGCGCAAAGAACATTCGTCAGGTGTCGTCGCTGTGGTCATGGCACCTGCGCTGATTGTTGCACTGTGGGTTGGGCAATCATACTGGCAGTAGTGTAGCTGCAGTGCACGTTCGATGGCTGCTGCCTCATTGGAAAATTCATCGACACTTGTAGGCGGGTTTCGCACGAGACCAGCAAACAGCTGCTCCTTAACACCGCGCATGAAGTGGCTAATATTTTTGCCTTCGGACATATCTGAATCTGCTCGATGAAAAAGTCGTGCCATGTCCTCAACAAACATAACGGATTCATTTGGTTTCTGAATCCGTGACTCAAAGAGCCGCTGGGCAAGCTCTCGCCTTTCGGTGCTTGCGGACGTGCTGGGGAACTTCCGCCGGAACTCATAAGACTACCACACACGATTCGTGAACCATGTTCTGGCTCCGTCTTGAAGGGAAAATACACGTAGCCCAATTTCTGTGTGGCGTTCCACCCGTTAACGTTTGCTTACCGGCAATAGACCAAACTCGGGGGCTCAGGCCTAACAGGCGGCGGCCGCTGCGGTGAACGTGAGTGTCAAGGTGCGGTCTTTCTGCGCTGTTGTCAGTTGTCCCGAACATGTACCCAGCACCCCCGCCAGCGTCACGTCGCAGAAACAGCAGCAGTCAAATGCAGGATAACTCACTTTAATTATACCGGAACACTGGCAAACTGATTGGGTGAGAGCCTCGTCTTTATCTCTCGCTGTGCATGCTCTTCATTATTCTTTTCATGTTGCATATAGACTATTTTACCCAAGACGCACAAACACCGCCATCTAGGGCTGTAAAGTCAATGTTTTCTTGTCTTGTATATTACAACGTGAATTGAAAAGGCCGCGAAAACATTGTATGCACCAACCCAATCATTTTCATGTCTATGCGTCCACCGTAACACTGTTTAGTTGTTAAAATAATGTTTGTTGTGCAAATAATGTTTACACCAAAGAAGTTCACCTTGAGAAGGGAGAAACGACTGTCGATCAAAGCGTGAATCGAAACAAAAAACGTATATAGTAAATATAAGGATGCACTTTGTGACAAACTTGAAATGACTCATTGCAGCTTTAACGTGTGCATTGTTGTAAAATCATACTACAGTAACTTCAGTGTTGCTTCTTTATCCTTTATTGTATGAAACACTTAGATAATTTTGACGCCTGCAGAACTATGAAACCAATTAGCAGGATGTTCCCTTTTGGCTGCTTTAAAGGGGCCCTGCAACACTTTTTGAGCATGGTCATAAAATGCTGCCGATCAGTAGTAAAGGCTCCCGACATCACGCGAGCCAAATATCATAGCGCAGCACGCGGCCTGTAATTTACAATTAATTATCAAAGTCAGCTAAACATTGTTTTTTCTTCTCTCGAAAAATCACGAAATAAGCCCAAAAATCTCATAAAAAGCCCATCTATCAGCCATTGGCTGATTTGAACATGGCGCGCTCGGTCGTTACAGAGATCGCCACGGGAGGCCACTACTTGTCCGCATGTGGGCGCGCAATCACACTGAAAAAGCCGCTCATTCGAAGAAAAAAAAAGGGAAAAGTGCTCAAGGTCACGAGGTGCGCGTGATGTTTTTCTGTGGCCCTGCCATCCCTCCCTGCTTAGCTTCCAGCGCTTTCGTCAGGACGAGAGGAGAGAGAGAGTGCAATTGCAGCCTGCGACAAACCTTTGCAACTCCACTTGCACTGGATGGAACTTTTTGCGGCGTTGAATTCGTGAAGCAATAAGTTCTTCCAGTGATTCATTCCATGGGTACCTAAAACGTGTTCATGGGCCCCTTTAAAGAAAAAAAAAAGATCTACATCAAAGGTCTTCCACCCTTTTAGTCTGAGCCCTTCAGTCAACCTGTACTGATAGAAAGTAAATATTACAGAAAAATGTTAAGAGATTTCTTTGAATCTGATTTAATTATTTTTTGTTTCGAATACTGAGTGACTGTTGGACACCCAACAACATTTCTTGTGACACCAGAGAGTATCATTAAGGCAGTGAGACTTGTTTTGTGCATTGTTGCAGTACAATTCTCCTTGGACACCTGTTGAACTGCAAGAGAAAATAGACCCAAAGACTGAGGTTTTTCATGAAAGCGTTCATTTATTGTGGAATTTGTGGTGAGTACTCTATATCCACATACTTTTCCACATGGTTATTGCTGGATGTATATTTACTCTTATGGTCTTCACTTGCAGTGAGAGCAGTGAGACCTCAGTTTCTATATTCAACCGGGAAAAGTTATGGACAGTGTTGCTTCCCTGTATTAAGTGGAAAGAATATGGCACGAGGATAGCAACAGCCGTAGGTAAGTGCTATTTTTTTAACCACTAAATACTGTAAAAAAATTGTCATATTCAACTTGCTGTTAGCATAGTGAAGCTTCAATATTGTGAAAGTTGAGAAAAAGAATTGCTGTCAGTGTATGCTAATATACTAACAAGGCAGCATTTGCTACTTGTTTACTAAAAGGGACCATGTGTTTTTGCTATGATGGGACTGTAGCAGGTGAAATGTGTACCTTTGTTCATCTTATTTTGATGCACTGCTCAGGTTTTGATCAAATGCCAGAAAAGGTTGCTGTCCACATGGGTGTACTGTGAAATTCAGATTGATGGGTGCAGGCTGTACCAATAAGTCTTATGTAAAAAAATTGGTAAAATATGCATTTCCTTTCATAATATCTATCAAAGATGAAGTTCTTGTTTTTATTTGTTTTTGTTTTTTCGGTGCCCACTCTATGATGTGGTTTTTGGGGAAAGTACAGCGGGAAGTACTCAGAAAATGGCTTTAAACCATGCTCCCCAGCCCCGCCGTGAAGGTCTAGTGGCTCCCTGCAGGGGCGCCTGCGCAAGTAGGCGTTTGGTGTGTAGCGACACCACGGACCCGAGCTAACGGGGGAGTTTTGACTCCCTCCCACGCCTAGCCGTGCGTGGCTTTGCCGTGTCCGGGGAAAAGGGGATCCTGGGGGTTGAGCCGACGCTGAGTGATTGGACCTTTAAGGCCCCCCGGCAGAAGCAACACACCCCTTTGACCCCGGCTTCACGTAGACGGCACCCCTGGGCTGACCCACCCAGGGGAAATCGGCAGTCGCCTTTTCCTATCTCTCTCTCCCTACATCTTCGTCTTTATCTCTTACTATTTATCTGTCCTGTCTTCTACTCTCTTCCGTTTACTTCCAAACTTCCTGGCGGCTAGGGTTAACCCTGTGCAAATAGCCTACCTTGGTCTAGGCTCATTGGGTTATAGTGGCGTTGTACGGCTGGCGTCTGCAGGTTTCAGCATCCGCAAACTTGTAGCGTCCCCTCGTTGGGCTCCGTGGTGGGTGGCCGCCAACGCTGCTGAACAAAAATAAGACAGGCATGCACAGAGCATTCCCCTTACTATCTGATCGTACCGGCTTAAAGCGGGTACGCACCGATGATATAAATTTTTTCAACCAGCCAAAATAAACATATCCTCACTATCATGTTATCCACTGTGAAAAAACTGAAAAGCAAGCCAGAACCGTCTCTCCTTTCCTGGTTTCTAGATGTCTTACCGAAACTCTTGGCATAGGATACAAGGTAACCAAAATGGCTAGTGGAGACCTTCTCCTCGAAATCCGTGACAAAGAACAATTTGAAAAGCTAGACCGTCTTTCAGATTTTGGTGGCATACCAATAACCATAACACCACATAGATCAATGAACACAACTCGCGGAGTGGTATCTGACATGGACTTACTTGACTTGACTGAGACTGAACTTTTGGAGGGGTGGAAGAGCCAAAATGTCACTAATGTACAGAGAATCATCATCAGAAGAGATAATAAGGAAACACCGACAAAACACTTAATACTCACATTTGCATCCAGTAAACTACCGGAATCTATTCAAACAGGGTACACGAAGACATCTATCAGGCCGTACATACCAAACCCTCGTCGTTGCTTCCAATGCCAGAGGTATGGCCATGGCTCTAAAACCTGTCGTGGTCGCCAGACTTGTGCACAATGTGGAGTCCTAGGCCATGTGTCTGAGAACTGCAAACAACCGCCACACTGTGTAAACTGCGAAGGAAACCATGTCGCATATTCACGCTTCTGCACATACTGGAAAAAAGAAAAAGAAATAATTACATTGAAGGTGAAGGAGAACATTACATTTAAGGAAGCACGGCGAAGAGTCGCTCCATTCTATGAACCTACATACGCTGATGCGGCGCGTCAGGGGGCACCACCGCACCAGCCCTCGCCACTCCTTCGGCCCGCGCATACCGAGCCGGTGGTTGTGGCACCTGCCCCCAAGGCGGCTGTAGCCCAGGCTACACCGCCTACTCCCAAACAGAGACCGGAGACTCCAGAGTCCTCGGGTCTCAAGGCCTCACCTCACCAGGCGAGGCCTGAAACTCGAACTAACAGCCCGCACGTGCGGGCATCCAGTGCCTCTGAGGAGGCAATAGATACGTCGGTACCCTTGGTGCCGAAAGAGCGGCGTGGCTCCTTGGAGCGCGCCAAGAAAACAAAAAAGCAGATAACAGGGCCTGGTGACGGCCCTGTTAAGTGAATCCAAACTCCCTGTCTAAACAGCCACTCGCTTTTCGTACACACAGCACTATTTTACATTCACCACGAACACTCAAATTATACAATGGAACGTCAGGGGCCTTCTCAGAAACCTTGACGACATCCAAGAACTCTTACACAAACACTCACCAAAAGTGCTGTGTGTACAAGAAACGCACCTTAATTCAAAACACACAAATTTTCTTCGTAAATATGTTATTTTCCGAAAGGACCGTGTTGATGCCATGACATCATCCGGAGGTGTTGCCATCATAGTGAATCAAGGAATTGCATGCACACACTTACAACTCCAAACATCCCTTGAGGCAGTGGCTGTTCGAGCAGTTCTTTTGATAAACTGATCACAATCTGCACTATTTACATTCCTCCTAGCTATCAGCTGCAAAAACGTGATTTACACTCTCTAATTGATGAACTTCCGGAGCCTTATGTTCTCCTTGGAGACTTTAATGCGCATAGCAGGCTATGGGGTGACTCTCAGTATGACGCGCGTGGTCGACTGATCGAACAGTTCCTTCTCTCGTCGAGCGCGTGTCTCCTAAATCGAAAAGAACCAACCTATTATAATCTCGCTGATAACACCTACTCCTCCATAGACCTAAGCATAGTATCTCCATCTCTTGTGCCTCTACTCCAGTGGAAAGTCGTCAGTAATCTGTACGGAAGTGACCACTTTCCCGTAGGTTTGAGCACAACTACAGCAACTGAGTGTCCACCCCGTGTTCCCAAATGGCTCATAAACAGAGCCGACTGGGAACGGTTTTATACCATCGCTCGTATAGATTGGAGTGACATATGTACTTTAAGCATTGATGTTGCTGTCGACTACTTCACAGCTTTTTTGATTGATGCTGCAACAAAATGCATCCCACAAACAAATGGACACCCAGGAAAACGGCGTGTGCCATGGTGGAACTCTGAATGCCGAAACGCGCACAAACAGCAAAACAGAGCTTGGAGGCTGCTTCGGAACTCACCGACAGCTGAAAATCTTGAAACCTTCAAGAAAATAAAGTCTCAAGGCAGGAGAATGCGTCGGCAGGCCAGAAGAGAAAGCTGGCAGAAGTTTTTGTCAGGGATCAATTCATACACACAGGAGGCTAAAGTCTAGAACATGTTCGGTAGGATAGCAGGAAAACAAGTACACACACTTCCACTCGTGGATACTCAGGGTGATACCTTGGAAGATCAGGCAAACTTCCTCGGTGCACACTTCGAACAGGTGTCCAGCTCATCCCACTATACTGACACTTTCCGAAAATACAGAACAAGAATAGAAAAGCAGAAACTCGAACACAAATGCACTTGTTCCGAGGCATATAACCAAGCTTTCAGTCTAGCTGAGCTGCGAATGTCTCTAAACTCCTGCAGTGCTTCTGCCCCAGGTTCTGACCTTGTGGTGTATGAAATGTTAAAAAACCTACCAATCGAAACACGAAAAACCTTACTTTGTTTGTACAATGCTATCTGGTTTTCTGGCACTATCCCTACCTCCTGGAAAGAGGCTATTATTATTCCCATTTTGAAAGAGGGCAAGGACCCTTCTTTACCCTCGAGTTATAGGTCTATAGCACTTACAAGCTGCTTGTGCAAAGTCTTCGAAAAAATGATAAACTGCCGACTTGTACATTTTCTTGAAACAAACAATTTGCTCGACCCATTTCAGTGCGGGTTTCGAGAAGGTAGATCCACCACAGACCACCTTGTTCGTATCGAAGCACAGATCAGAGACGCCTTCGTCCATAAACAATATTTCCTCTCTGTGTTCCTCGATATCGAAAAGGCTTATGATACAACATGGCGTTTTGGAATTCTAAGAGACCTGTTCCACCTTGGCGTGCGTGGAAGAATGTTTCACATAATCGAAAGTTACCTGTCAAACCGGACATTCCGTGTCCGTGTGGGCACGGTTCTTTCCCAAACATTTGTCCAGGAAACAGGCGTGCCACAAGGTGGTGTACTTAGCTGAACACTTTTTCTCATAAAAATGAATTCCTTGCGCTTGACCATCCCTCGCATTATGTTTTATTGTACATATGTCGATGACGTCCAGCTTGGCTTTAGGTCTTGCAATCTGGCAAATATGTGAGCGGCAGGTTCAGTTAAATTTAAACAAGGTCTCCAAATGGGCAGAGGAAAATGGATTCCGACTGAACCCACAAAAAAGCACGTGTGTCTTGTTCTCTCGAAAGAGAGGCATGCACTTAGAACCCGACATTGAACTGAACGGTCAACGTTTGTTTGTTAATGCGGAGCATAAATTCTTAGGAATAATATTGGACAACAAGTTGACCTTCGTACCGCACATCAAGTATTTAAAAACAAAATGCTTAAAAGCCATGAATGTTTTAAAAGTGTTGTCACGTACTACGTGGGGTAGTGACAGGCAATGGCTCATGAATCTGTATCGAAGCCTCATTCGCACCCGCTTAGATTATGGGGCCCTTGTTAATCAGTCTGCAACTCAAAGTGCTTTGAAGATGCTGGACCCCGTGCACCATTTGGGCATCCGCCTTTCTACGGGTGCTTTTCGCACCAGCCCCGTAGAAAGCCTTTATGTTGAGTCAAATGAGTGGTCGCTTCATCTGCAGAGAACTTACATGTCCTTTGTTTATTTCCTTAAGGTGAAAGCAGATAAGAAGCACCCCTCATACTTTACTATTAATGATTTGTCAAGCTCCATTCTGTTTTAAAACAGGCCTTCGATGAGGCAGCCCTTCTCAGTTCGCCTGAAAAGTCTA